GGAATTAATGTTAAATTAATTATTATCATTACTATGATATATTAATATTGTGAAATGATAAAATTTTGAATCTGAAAAATTAAATATCATTTGAATAAAGTGCTTTTAGTTAAATGGTTAAAAATTAAATAACTTTTAAAAATAGAATAGTGGATTTTGTTGAAAAATAGTAACCTAAAACCGTACAAGTTTTTAGATGTAAGTTAGAGCGGTAAGCGGTCAAAATAGTATAAAGATGTAAGAAGTAGTTGTAAAAAAAAGGGTATAAAAAGAAAGCTGAGTGTACCGTTTTTGGTAAAAAATTTAGTATCGTTTTTGTAATTAGTAACTACAAAAGTGGTATACCTTGTACCGTAGTTGTACAATGTTACTAATCAAAACCAGTGACTTCTCGATTCTTTTATATAGCTCTGTTGCTGCTATGGAAAAAGGATTCTAGCTTTAACTGATGAATTTATTATATGAAAATAGTTTAGCCAGTAACTTAAGCAAAATGAGATCTTCCAGTCGAGGTCGTATGGTAAAGGCCTCGAACTTTTATAGTAGTGGATAGACAAGATTAAATTATTCAATAAACCAACACTTACAGACTGTAATTTGTTCATTGAGAATACACAATGCAAAACTAAAAAAAAATTCAGTGAAACATCTCTCTTTCATAGGTTGACCACAAAACTGGAATTATATTTTTTAAAGCATAGAACAAGAAAATACCAATTTTCAAAGGGAGAAAAATACTTGGAAAAGATAGAAACATGCATGGAAAAGCCGACAAAGAAGCCAAGGGCGACTTATAAAAAAGGGACAAAGATGGATCACATAAAATGCAACTTGCAAATAGTTTTACCGAAATTGCATATGATATAAGACATTTCATTAATTGGTTTTCGTCAAACAAGTACAATTTTGATTCGTTAGCATGTAACATGTTGCTGACTTATGGCCAACTAATCAATAATGCTCGAGTCCGAGTATCGGGACGTCGCCGTCACAGCTAAATGCATGGCTATACATGTCTAAGATTCTTAAGTTAAACTATCTTTTACAAACTTTTAATTATATTATAATAATGTCTGCAACAAACAATGTTTTCTCATAGAATTACTCACTCTTGGTGCATGGCGTATTGATATATATGTGACCCATAGTTTTTTGGGGCCTTTGTAATAGATCTAGAGGAAAAATTACATTTAATTATCGATTAAAATTTCGAAAAAGATAGTATTTATTATTCTGAAAAATATCTAGCAATATTTTTGTGTGTTGCTTAAGAAGAAGTTACATATGTCCCAAGTCCCAACTATGCTTAACGCGATGAAAAACAGATTATGTCAAGTGGTAAAGATTCAGCCACCACCACATCACTTAGAGCTTCAGCATCATTATGAGCATCTGAAGATTGACTATTAATCTTTTCAAGGTCCTACAACTTCCTCAAGCAAATCTGTTGTCATTCAAGAAACATTAGTAAGGGAAGACATCCTCAACAAATGCAATATCACAAGATATGAATACATCTTTTGTGTTAAGATCCAACAATGTATATATGCCTTCTTACTGCATTGAGAGACCCGATCGATCAAAATAAAATGTCGACCACCACTAGCGAATTTATCACTATGGCATGTCAAGCCACATAATTACATAAACACATATATCTCATTCTAACTAGGCGCCACTCCAAAGAGAGCACTTCGTAGGTCGTTCCACAAATGGTGTGTGACTTACTTTTCAATTTACTTTCCTTATAAAATAAATGTAAATATACATGATAAGATGTATTTCGTGTAAAACTTGTAGAATTAATTATATTATATTGCTTTTACTATTTTTCTACTATGAGCAGAGGGGTACTAATCAGACAAATACACAAACTGTCAATCACATATTTTCGAAAGAAATGGAATGAGAAGACCCATATTGCGTGAAGAAAGTGGACAAACTTGACACATACCTTGGTTCGTGTACGTGACCGTGAGAATGAAAAGTAGACATGCAAGTTGCCCAACTTGACCTCGTCTTATTACCAAAAAAGTCCTTTCTCAAGATGATATACTCCTTTTTCTATTCAGAGATAGATATTAATCTTACCATCGGCTGGCCCAAACTTTGGTTTCTTTTATAGTTAGTGGAGAAGATTGCTTTCCGATTACGACCTTATACCAAAAACGTTAGGATTGGCTAAGTTAGAATATAATTGTTGAAGTTCATGGATTCCTAAAGATCTCAGCATCTTCACATATATGGATTCGAGTGTGTGTATTTCGATTGCGTCAGATAATTTAAGTAGAAGATGACAAATATATAAGCGTATATCTATCTAAACATATACTGTATGTGATAAAAATAAATTAATTAGTGAAGTACGATATATATATGTTATGGACTGACTTATATGGTGTGTGCTGTCTCGCGATTCACGACCTCATAACTCAAGTTTAATAAGTCTTCTATAACTATTTAACGAAAAGTAATAACACATGAGTTTGAATTTGTTCTATACGTTTTCACACTGCATTTATGCACCATTGGCTCTATAATATGTACATGTCTGTTAAAGTTTTGATATGAGCGTTGCTTGTCAGCAAGTAGGAATAATCCAAATAACAATGTGTTTGACAAAAGATAAAAATATATAGTAGTATATAATGAATTTTGTTTTAAAATATAATACATATCATATTTATACCGATTGAATACAGAGCACAATTATTGCTCAAAAATTTAAAGAATGTATACGTTAACTAAAGTTAAAAATATATTTATTAATTTTAAAGTAGAAAAAATACAAAAATGACATATAATGATTTAAAAATGTATATATGCTATAATTTCACACTCAGATGCGTTTTTTCTTTTTTTGATAAACCGTATAATTTCCGAACCTTTCTTTATAATTTCACATTTAGATGTGTTGGGTCCTAGTTCTACAAAATCACTCCCAACAAAATGATTACGTGGAAACAAAGCAATAGCTGAGACTATGGTGACTAAATAAGTTGGCCCAACACTCTAACCTATTGGCAGAGTAAGCTCACTGGGCTTGGCTCATAATAGCACTTCGGTTACAAAATTTGAGATATAATAACTTTTTCAAAGAAAATAATAATAATATCAATTTCAAAGAATTGGACCCCCAAAAAAACTATCGTCCAATTGAGTAAAAATGGAGCTCTGAATTAAACCAGTTAAGGAAAAGCAATGATGATAAATTAATTCTTTAGCATCTCGGATGAAAGCGATTGATGGACAATATGACATAAATCCACCGGCGCATTTCCAAACTAACTAGTTATACCTCTAAATACTTTTTGACAAGTATATTGTATATTGCGTCTATTTGGGATTTTCTTAGTAAATATCGTAGTTGTTGTGATCAACTAATCAAAACAATTCGTAACATCCGTTTCGAAGTGCTATACCAATCTTAAAAACTGTTTACTTTATGCTTTCAAGGAAGTTTATTTTGTCAAGTGGTTAATTGTCCACTTATAGAAGAATTCGACTCCATCTCTCCACAAAAAGTTGAAACAATAGTCTAACAAATCCCGTTGTCAAAAATTACTTTGTCCAGTTTGCCAAGTTCCTGCATTCGCTCCTACTAAGTGTGAACCAGTCACGTCTTGAATAGTTTTTTAAAATGTTAGGATTGATGAATTGTTTTGAAATTTGGAACCTGTCACGTCATAATCTGCTACAAAAATTGTCTATTCGATTAAGGTCGATCTCTACTCGGTTTATCTCCATTATTTCCCCGAAAGAAAAAATTATATGTTCTTAGATGAGCAATAGCTTTTAACGGTGTTAGATTAAAACTCATCAACTCCATAAAAAGCGATCTATATAAGAGGACCACAACTAATGTCTAATACCTTCGACTTCGTAATGCCTTTTTCCTTTTATATCGTAACTCGTAAGTAGCTTTACCATATTCTATATATTTGATTAATAAACTTATGAAATTGAAGCCCCTTTGCCGTTTACGTCCAAAGTTACATCAGCATTGATGGATTTTTTGCTGAGAATAGACGACCCATAATTCATCCTACGCTTTAAGTGGTTGGGAGTTAGAGCCTGCCAGATAGATTCCGATTCTAGTATATACGAAACAAAACATGTATTAAGAAGAAACCTCAACGGCATTGATATAAATTAATTTTAATTGCGTGATACAAATCAGGATAGTTTATATAATCAGCCAAAGTTTTCTACTTGATTAACATTTTTGTGATAAGTTAATATATATAATCAGTAACCTGCTACATACAGCTAACCACACTGTTATGACATGGATTCCTTATTCAGAAAAGCTATCTACTTAATAGTTATTTGGCCACGCTATAAATTTTGATACATTGGCCTATGGCCTAATTTTTTTGAAACAAATTGAAGGGCTTATTATTTATTAAAGAAAATATATGTATTGTAATTTGAAGGGCCACAATTATATATTTGATAATTTAAAAGAAAGTGTTTCTAATTCCAACAAAAAAAATTTACAGATTTTTCCCAAATTTAGAAAATAATTCAAGGCAAAAATGAAATAGAAAAACAAAACTAGGATAAAATATGAAAAAAAATCACATAATGTTTTTTTTTTTTTTTTGCTAACAAATTCACATAATGTTGCTTGTTAATATTATAATTTTGTTTTTAAAAGTCGCTTGGGGCCTCAATTAATGTAAGCACGGCTAGTTAATACAGTTTATTAGGGTCTAATGAAGTTGGTGTGATCATTTAATAAAATTGGTATCTCATAACTCGGTTATTTATTCCCCTTGCCATCTTAGTTTTTCATCTGCAACTCACCCAAAAGCTTAATCCGTTGTGTTTTTCTTCCAAACAAAAAATCTTGAGTTGATGGAGATAAACATGTTGATTTCTGCGGTGGAATGGTTTTACACTCACTTGAAGTTATCGGACGTGGCTTTAGCCCTAGTAGGGCTTTTTCTTCTTAGTTACTTGCGCGAGAAGCTAGTGAACAAAGGCGGGCCGGTGATGTGGCCGGTGCTGGGGATCATACCGATGTTAGCCCTAAACAAACACGATCTGTTTGGTTGGTGCACGAGAAGCGTGGTCAGAGCCGGTGGGACGTTTCATTACAGAGGAGTTTGGTTCGGTGGGGCTTATGGTATCCTGACTACAAATCCTGCGAACATCGAACACATTCTCAAAAACAACTTCAAAAACTACCCAAAAGGCGAGTTTTATAGAGAGAGGTTTCGTGATCTTCTGGAAGATGGGATCTTCAATGCTGATGATGAGCTGTGGAAAGAAGAGAGACGTGTGGCTCAGACGGAGATGCATTCTTCTCGTTTCTTGGAGCACACGTTTACTACAATGAGGGATTTGGTGCAAGAGAAGCTGGTGAAGCTAATGGAGAAGATGGCCACTTCGAATAGAGTCTTTGATCTACAAGATGTGCTCTTGCGTTTCACCTTCGACAACATCTGTATCTCCGCCTTTGGGGTTGACCCGGGATCGCTAGAAATCGATTTACCTGAGATTCCTTTTGCTAAGGCCTTTGAGGAAGCCACGGAGTACACGCTTGAAAGGTTTCTGATGCCTTATTTTGTGTGGAAGCCAATGAGGTTTTTTGGGATTGGGTATGAGAGGAAGCTGAAAAAAGCGGTGAGACTCGTTCACGCGTTTGCGAATAAGACAGTGAGAGAGAGGAGGAGCAAAATGAGGAAACTCGGGAACTTGAACGATTCCGCTGATCTCTTGTCACGCCTTATGCAGAGAGAGTACGAAAAAGAAGAAGATACCCCAAGAGGGAACTACTATTCAGACAAGTACTTCAGAGAGTTCTGCACAAGTTTCATCATCGCTGGTCGAGACACCACATCGGTTGCCCTCGTGTGGTTCTTCTGGCTAGTTCAGAAACATCCCCAAGTCGAGAAGAGAATCCTAAGCGAAATCAGAGAGATCCGAGGGAAGTTTGCAAAGCAAGAAACAAAAGCTCGGTTCGAGGCAGAGGAGCTAAGGGAAATGGTGTATCTGCAAGCTGCTTTGACAGAGTCGTTGAGGCTTTACCCTTCGGTGCCAATGGAGATGAAACAAGCTTTAGACGACGATGTGTTACCCGATGGCACAAGGGTGAAGAAAGGCGCAAGGATTCATTACTCGATCTTCTCGATGGGGAGAACAGAGTCGATTTGGGGAGAAGATTGGGAAGATTTCAAACCAGAGAGATGGATCAAAGATGGAAGAATTGTGAGTGGAGATCAGTTCAAGTACGTTGTGTTCAACGCAGGTCCAAGACGTTGTGTTGGGAAGAAGTTTGCGTATACACAGATGAAAATGGTGGCTGCATCAATCTTGATGAGGTATTCAATCAAAGTCGTCCAAGGACAGGCCATTGTTCCCAAACTCACCACCACATTATACATGAGGAACGGTCTGCGTGTGACGCTCCAGCCCCGGGACTGGTAAGCTAGGCCTGGTCACTCGGCTTATCTGATCGGTTTGATTTCAATCAGAATATTATACTAAAATAATATTAACTGGTTATTAATTTTAATTACTACTCTTATATGTTTTTGGTATACCTAAATGTTGCTGAATGTTTAACTAAAATTAAATAGTGTGAATTTCGGTTTAGTTTGAATTCGATATAAAAATGTTGTTGCTGCTTGCTTTAATGATTATCTTTGGTTCGGTTTCTACTGAGAATTGTCGGTTCATGTCCACCTAGTTCAAACAGTGGACACAACAACATGGAATTTTTCCATGCAATCATGAAGACAACCTATTGATTTATTAAAAAAATCTCCAAAGCTTATAGTAACAAAGGGCAAAAGAGATTAAAAAAAAAAAAACCAAATCAAGTTACTTCACTCTGCATTCAATCCAAGTGCAGTGAGAATGC